ACCTTGTAAAAAAAACCTATTTTGTAGGTTAACAGTGGGGCCATCATTACTGAATGAACAGTGGGGCCATCATTACTAAATGAACAGTGGGGCCATCATTACTAAATGAACAGTGGGGCCATCATTACTAAATGAATAGTGGGGCCATCATTACTAAATGAACAGTGGGGCCATCATTACTAAATGAACAGTGGGGCCATCATTAAATGAACAGAGGGACCATCATTACTAAATGAATAGTGGGGCCATCATTAAATGAACAGAGGGACCATCATTACTAAATGAATAGTGGGGCCATCATTACTAAATGAATAGTGGGGCCATCATTAAATGAACAGAGGGACCATCATTACTAAATGAACAGTGGGGCCATCATTACTCAATGAACAATGGGGCCATCATTACTAAATGAACTCAAAAAATTAGCATTGTATTGATGAATTAATTACTGTACACAAGTTCAGTAATAAAGCAGCCACTCTGCATTACAACGTTGTGTTGCAGAGATCTCTAATCACGGAGTCTGTAAAGACCACATCTTGCTCCTGTTGAACACTTAAGTTGTAGAGACTATCACAGCACTATCTCTTGCAATTCCTAGTGTAGTGATGACGTAATAAGCATCAAATATGTCATACTACTACTTGAGGTCGTAAAATACACCCAATTAAGGGCAACACCTCAATGTTAGCACATAGTCGCACATCACTACCATCGAGACAGTGAGTTGACAAATATATTGCACTGACAAATCTTACCTCGTAGTTACAAAGTGCCGGTGATACGGTAGCTATTATTGATGTTTTTGTCCTACCCCCAAGTGAATCTTGCAACAGTCTGGTTAGCTTACTCTCTCTGAAAATAGAAATAAACTGTATCAAATTTGTGCCAGAAACTCTGTTATGAAATGCCCGCCACCCCTTCCCCCCAAAAAAACATTTTGCAACACAACGGTATTGCATGTATTTTCACACACAAGTCTTCTATGGGTGAAAAAACTTTTAGCATTGTGTCACTATTTGTTGTGAAATTAAGGCCAGTAATATATGTGCAATACTGTAATATTTAGTTATTAAAGTAGTACTTTTATCAAAAAATGTATCCATTGGTAGTAGAGTAGCAAGTCATCCTCTCTCATACAAGTCAATATACATTTCAGATATTTTCAATTTACTATCGTTTCAGTCATTTCTTGAACGATTATTTTTAACTAAATATTGCTACACTACAGCAAGTTATTATCAACATTGTCGGTAAATATACAGCAATTGCTTCCAATGTTGTTGAAGTTTTTTTGCTACAATCAAGTTTGTTTTGATACATTCGTGACGCACCCCGACTTCTAGTCGCTATCATTGGACCCACAACGCATTTCAACTCGGACCGGATCGGACTGACAGTCATGGCGGAATACTTATTCAAAGTAGAGTTTGTTTATTATCGGGATACAAGAATTATATCAATATATATATCACAAGCTGAGTTTCATAGTGATGACAGTTTTATCGACCGCCTCACTAGTGAGACACCATTTTTACGGCGAATGAACGCACTTCGCGTTCAAATTATGGACAAAGAAAATCAGAAAGTGGATTTACCGACAAACCATAGATTCAAACAGTAGTAAATTTTGAGAAAATCTATTGTTTCTTACCGGATGACAGTCTACATGCATTTGAGAAAAATCAATAAATTGCTTTATTAAACTTCAAGATCATTATGTTGATTGAACAGAGTGTGGTTAATAGAACTCATAGATTCATAGTCAAGAATGAAAATCCAGTAAATTTGATTTCGTATTTGCTCATGGCATCATGTTTATTTATTTGATATAATAAAACATATAGCTTAAGCAACCTCAGTGTCAGTCAATATTCAGATGTAATTACCCTGTGCCTCTGTCAATTAATTCTTGTTTGGGCAATTAAAACTGCATATTGACCTCCACTTGGGTAACTACATGTAGTATAGCAAGCTCACCTATATGGAATATGAGGAGCGTGTTCAACCAATCCTGTTATCACACGGCCTAAGGTTAACAGACTTTGATTGATGTTACCTGTAAAAATAACAATTAAGTCATACACACCATGACAAGAGCACAAATGTATTGCACATCAAACAATAACACGCATTTCCCACGATGCACTGTAACTTATGGCGATAT